GGGAAAATCACTGGCGTTAATGGTTTCCATAGTCTTCGATTTTGTTAAAAAGGCTCAGTGCTGTGGGTCATGGGACAATTGTTCAGCAAGAGAGGAAAGTTGGAAATCTTGTCTCCAATATCAAGGTTAGAACAAATGTTTCCCATATTTGAATGTAGATTCACAAGCTGCAGGCAAATTTTCATTTAATGTAGTGCCTGTCATTCATCTGCATAACTGTTATTGCTAAGCCTGTGTTAGTTGCAAATGAAATGTTTGCAATTCCTGTTCATCAGTACTGGTTTTCAACTCCCTCCTCTCTATCCCCTGCCCCAAAGACTTCCTTACCCATAAATCCCATACGGAATCTGGTCCTTTGGACTCGAATGCAGTTTTGTTACTCTTTCTGAGCTTCACTCTGCTTTATCTCTCTGCCACTCCATGGCAGTGAGCTCTAACAGTATTAACTGTGATATGCTTCATCCTCCTCCTTTGTTTACCTCAGTGCATCTGTTGAATATATGTAACCAAATTGGAGATGCTGGTTCCATCACTTCGCCTAGGGATTTTTGTTACTGTTCCCAGATGAACTGTGTGTGCAAGCTTTTTGAACATGTGATTAATGTATGCCTTGTGTAGTTTTCAGAACATAATTATTGCCCTTTTCCCTCTCAGTTTGGTCTTTAGAAGTGTAGCTTTTTAGATGGTAAATTTAAACTGCTCTGTCTCTTATCACCTATATGAAGGCATCTTCCTGGGCATTATTAAGTACTACACTTTCCATGGTTTCCTGTAGCTATCATTGCCACTTATCTCCCAACTGGGGTTTATTATGCACAACGTATTGACAAGCTCACTATTTGATGATGTGGTAACAATGTGTGCGTTCTTCAGAACTGTTTCTAGCTTGCAATTGATAGTGTCAACCTGGACTTCCAGTTAGGGCTTGAAGTTCTATTCTGCAAAAGCATGTTGTATAACCTTTATTAGGAAACGTATCATCCACACACTCACGGACCCTCATTTGAAATAAATTTCTATACAAAGATCATACTAAGATCTTGGGGTTAATTGACACCACCTATTCTGGTCATCATGTTTCCATTATCCATGAATGAAATGCTCAAAGTACTGTACCTTATCTTGTTCGGTCTTGTTGCATGCATTGTTACATGTGCTTAGGTGAATACTCCACCACATGCACTCCTTCCTTGAGCCTTCTAAACTTGACTATGGATTTTCTGCATACAGGTATTTGTTGTTCTCTCTATCTTAACACTTCATATCATTCATGCTTACACCTCAGTCTCGGGGTCTTTTGTTCCTGTCTGACCCAGAGTTTATATGTAGAAATCAGTGTTATGTTGTTACAAAGCCAACACAGTTGGTATTGCCTTCAGTTCCTTGTTTGGACCCTACAAAACCCTTATTCCAATTGAAAAACCTTGTTCATAAATGTCTGTTTTGTACATTTATAGTTGGGATAATTTACATTAATCTATGATGTTGCACTGTGATAGGCTAAGCATTCCCTGGAAACAGATTTTCTTAGTGATTTTGCATAGTAAAGTAATTACAATAATCCCGCTGCACCACGGATACAGTTCTGGAAGTTGGGACTTGCTGTAAATTTAAACTGTGTAAAGCTAAACTTTATTTCCCCAATAAGATTATGATAGCATTCACTATTAGTGCAATACATTCATACTTACCAGAAATAGCAAAATCTTGGTTGTTTCCTGGGCTCCACATAGGTATTGCTACTGAGGAGTTTCCAGAGCTCTCATATGGTGTTTATTTGAAAATTAGAAATGTCTACTGTATAATAAAAAAAAATCTGAACTGCTTTCTTCTCATGGTAAAGCTCCTTATGGGTGACCAAAAGATAAATGTTTTAAGGTTTACTATATGACATAAATTTGTCTTTTCGTGGTTCCAGGTGATGCAAATCTGTTTGAGTAGGGCTTTGCATGGCACTTGATGAAGCATGATATTACTGAATTTACTATATTAAATGCAGCATTTTTTATAAACAAAAAACCGATTTTTTACATTTACGTTTAGAATGGATGAAAATTGAACCTAAGGTATGTACAGTACTGTATAGTAACTTGATAAGTGGTTTTAAAGGATAACCAGATGTAAATCAAAATGATAGTAATCAAAAAGACAAGAGTTGATAGTACTGAACTCCAGTCTTGTCAACATGGTTGAACCAGAACCACAAGTTGTGTTGCCTGTTCGAAAACTTTTGTGATTGAATTGGTGAACCATATGATCTTATCTTTAAGTAATCTGACCATGACAGCTTTTTGTACTCGCTCAACCCATGTATGATAAGTGAATCTCATCCCTGACCTTTGCCAATACAGTATATATAAATGTATGAATCTTAAACTTTTGCAATATGTGCTGTTATTCATATTGTAATGGACTTGTTTTTCTTCAATTTTAATACATATAACTAACATGTGCTGATAATGTGAAGGTGATATACAACATTTATCGTAAATTTTACTAAAATCTTGCAGGTTTTCTTGTATAAATATATAAGGTAATATTTGATATTTATACTTAAGCTTTGTCATGCAAAAACATACCTGTAATAAAATGTCATCCCATCTTCCTGTTTTGATAGTAGAGTATTTACAGTAACAATGTGGATCATCATTCATATAGTGACGTAAAAGGCAGTTGGAAAGTAGAATTCTGTGCTATTGAATTTGGACAAACAGGAAATTTTTGTGTACTTTTGTTTTTTCATTTGTTGCAAAGAAATCTTAACTAACCTTCCAAGGCTTAATACACACTAATTGAGGCCTAGTATAGTACATATATATAGGCTATACTAGGCTTAAGAATATTTAATTTTTTCTTTAGCTTTATTTTTTCAAACTATAATTCATTGTGTAATGAATTAAATAATAATAATTAATTGTGTCGGCTAACAGGAAGCCAGGTTATACATACATTACATGTTAGGCTTATACCGAGGTTCCCCCCCTCCTTGGGATCGAATTACTGACCCCTGCCCAGGATGCAACTCCACAAAAAGCTGATTGACTCCTGGGTACCAGTTTACTGCTGGGCGGACAGGGGCATGAGGTGAAGGGAAATGAGCCCAACCATTTCTGTGCTGCCCGGGATTCGAACCCGGAATTCTCAACGGAGAGTTGAGAACGAACCCGACTGTACTACCGGGCAGCCCGTCTTCATAAACAAAGGCAAAAGTCCATTCCATGCACCCGCCAAACCCGGTTTATCCATTATTTGTGACCAAAATGTACAAACGGTGCCCTGTTAAGCCACACACGCTTAACTCACGGTCACTTAATGGAGCGCCGCCCTGCTCCTTAATCCCGTGCTGCAATTGTTTATGAATGAAAAACTGTTTACACACGACTCACAAACTGATGACTTCAGTTTGTTAGTGCTTCGTTGACGACTTTGTTCGAACCACAACGCTGTAAATGCTTCACACACAATACAAATAATTGCCAACAGAACCTAAATACCTAACCCAACCTAACCTAACCTAACCAGTTCCTAAATATGCACACAGTATACTAATATAAAATTATTCATTTATATTTGAGGATTTATATTTTTAATGAACATCATGTTAAAATTTATGAATATGTCTTTGGGGTCGACAGTTGGATGGAATGGACTTAGTCTGAGGACGGGGTGCATCAGGAAACTCTTATACAGTATATATGATTTGCAGCTGTAAAATATTTAAAATAGTCCTGTACATACACAGGGCTCACATTTGCTTCCTCAGGCCTCCAATAATCATCCCCCCATCTTTAACAAAAAATCCAGTCACTTTCATTCTAGAGCCTTAGTAAAAAAAAAAAAAATGAAGTCCATTTTTGGCATCATCATCCAGTGTCTGAACGTTTAGGGCAAGCATAGAAGTGACACTAAATGCAGATGAGGAGTCACAATAACGTGGCTGAAATATGTTGACCAAACCACACTAGAAAGTGAAGGGATGACGACGTTTCGGTCCATCCTGGACCATTAACAATCGATTTGAGAATGGTCCGGGATGGACCGAAACGTTGTTGTCCCTTCACTTTCTAGTGTGTGGTTTGGTCAACAAGTGACACTAAACTTTTAACAGCAGCAAATGAGCAATTACCATGTATATATTTGAGGTAAAAATGTGTGCTATATGCAATTTTATGATTTATGTCTATTCATATTAGTATGAATTAGTATATGGTGTCTGTATACTGTATATGTTTACTCATATCCATACATACTTATATTTTCAAAGTTATATATAAATAAACAGTACCTTTGACACACACATGAAACCTGTTGGCTTGAAAATACTAAATAAATAAAGTGAGAAACAATGAAAATAAATCAACACAGTTATTCCCATGCAGAACCTCGCCTTTCTTCTTCCCAAAAAAACGCAACTACTCCAGTCCACTACAGCTAAACGACAAGAGGTAGACTTTTTATTTAGATTTTTGTGCTCTCTGGAGGCTAATTAACAATGTCGAGAGAAAAAATAATTTTGTCAGGATAATGTTTATCTTGCACTCCATTGGGAATGTCGGCTATTAATAGTTATAGACTTAACCCCTGGGCTGCACATGTGTAATGGCCCACATAGTTACAAAAAGTATTATCTAAGCAGGAGGATGGGTTGTAAAATATTTAATGAACAGTAGATTTAATTTGTAAATGCCTATTTTATTCCAAATGTTTTTATTGAATATTTCCGACTCTAAAGTGTGATATATTGGATCTAGTAGTATAAAAGTGTGTGAATATTTTCAAAGGGAACATACCTGCTGGATACTAATGCAGTAGTAAAACAATAAATTTATTATGTTTTAAATGTAAGTGTATTTTTTGTTCAAATACCTACGTGCTTACGGTAATCCTTAAATACTTACATACTGTACCTTAAATAATAATATCCAGTAATGATATTCTCTTATACTGTGTCTAAAATAAAATTTAGAATATGACTTAAAATGTGTGAATAATTTCCATAGGATTACAAAGAGCTTCAGTTGGGTGTTGAAACACAAGATGACATGGACTCGTGGAAAGCATCATTCCTACGTGCTGGTGTTTATCCAGAAAAAGTGTCTGATACCAGCAATGGAGAGGAGGTAAGGACTCGAACCCTTTTCCAATAAAGAAAAAGTATATTTGAGGTTTGTATTAGTTGCAAGAGTATAATGTATTCTCTGGTGAAGTGGGCATTTTGATTTAACCTTTTTTTTTTTTTTATTTTTCTTATAGATTGTGAAACAGGAAAAATGAAATTGCCAAAAGAAATAATACAGTAATTATTGATTTTAATGCTACTTTTATGATAATCTTCTCCCAATTTTTACTTTGCTGGTTGTCTCTACATTAAAGAATATAAAGTACAGTACTGTACTTTTGGTGTTCCTGTTGTTTTTGTAAGTTGTAATAGATTACAGGCTTAACTCTAGATTTAAATTATTTATTTATAAAACTCATAATTGCTGGAAAACTTTATCATAGAATAGTAACTAACATTTTCTGTTCACTCTGGTCCTGTTAATGTCTGGGAGAACTGTTTAAACAAATTGTAGAAGGCTCAACCCAAATTCCTGATATCATTATTCAATATAGTTGTTATTTAAGCCATTTTGCATTGGCTAACTAAACTTTCCGAGTTTAGATTCTATCGCTAAACAAATTTACTAGCCCTCTCCTTGTGGTACTGTTTCTGATATTTTAATACTCTTTAATGTTGCAGTTGGAACATTGACTGCTGACAGCAAATACCGTATTAATTTTTACTTTTCTTTTCCCTATTATTTATTCTACCTTGCTGATAATTATGCTGATAATAATGCTGATAGTTACTGTTAATTATGTCATCGATATATTTGCCCTCAGTAGATCCCCAGTGTATTAGCTCTGGTACCACAGATCCAAGATCACCCTCAGAGCAGAATGAAACTGTTCAGAAAATACTGTTACAAATCAGTGTATCTCGATTAAAGAGAGCAGATGGCTTCACGGAAACAGTAGTTTACTCAATGTTAACAAACTATGTGCTAGAGTTAAACTCGACCACTAAAGTACAATATATTCAAAAGTATTATACTGTATTATAACTATTATAAATATAATAAACACATTGTTTAACTTAAAAATACTATACAACTTTATTCTCATAATCAACTACTGTAGCAGCAAAATTAAGTTATAATATCTATAATGACAGATTTTTAACTAGTGCTGTAACTGTAAATTTAATAATACTGTATAATAAAGTTACTTGTTCTAAAGTACTGTATAGGTCAAAATTGCCAATTAATTTACAATGAAATTAAAAGATGACTTTTTGGAGAGTTATAAAGCCTAAGCTAGTCTAAAACAAAGCAACTTGTATGTTAATGCTGACAGGTAGATATTTCTGTCATGCAACTTTTACTGCTTGATAGAGCTTTAGTACCTGACTCAACTAGGCAAGGGGTCTTTATCCAAGTTTCTACTACTTACTTTGAAATGGGAGTTTTGACAGATTGACAAAGCTTCAAAGAATTTTGAAGCTCTGTTAATGTGAATGTTAGATGCTTCTGATGCTCAATTATTCATTGTTTATAGAATGTTGATGCCCATTTTTTAATGTACTATATTTTCCTTGAACACCTTAATTGTTTCTTCAGGGTTCTAGTGAAGGCTCCACATCCATGGATCCTCAACTTGAGAGGCAAGTTGAAACCATTCGCAACTTGGTAGATTCCTACATGAAGATTGTTACGAAGACTACACGAGATTTAGTACCAAAGTCTGTAATGCATCTTATGATCAACAACACCAAAGATTTCATTATGGGGGAACTCCTTGCCCACCTGTATGCCTCAGGTGATCAGGTGTGTTCATACTGTCTCAAAATTATTTTGGCTGAATATATAAATATTTTTTAATTGCAATATGTTGTAGTTCAATGTGAAAATTTAGAATAAAAACTTGGTTTAAGATTGGAACAGTTGAGTATGGGTAGAATTCTTAACAATAACTTTTACAGAATTCAATGATGGAGGAAAGCCCCGAGGAAGCACGTAAAAGAGAGGAAATGCTGCGTATGTACCATGCATGTAAAGAAGCGCTCAAAATTATTGGAGACGTTTCAATGGCAACAGTGTCCACTCCTATGCCACCTCCAGTTAAAGATGACTGGCTCAGTACAGGCCAGGAAAGTCCAAGGTGATGTATGGAAAATATATTACAGTACTAGTGTAAATATTATGAATACAGTATTAGGTTATGAATGTAGTACATTTTAAGGCATAAACGTTTATTGTGAACTAGAAAAAATTAACTAATTTTTAAGGATTATAGGATTCTTTAAAAGTGCTGCAATGATCTGCCTCTGCCTGTGCAAAAAAATAAAAAATAAAAAATTATACAACTGTATACAAAAAGGAAAGAAAAATAAAAAATTAAATATTTAGGTCTTTGTATTCAGTGCACATTGGGAGACTGCCAGGTGAAAACCAGATCTGGGTGAAAGGACCTGCAGTTTATCCTCAATCTTTTGGGTCTGAACATTTTCATTCTCTTTCTGACCTTCCGCATGTCCACTTTTGCCCAAGTTCACCTGATTCTTCAACCAAGAGTTTGGATGGTATCCCTGGATCTCTAGGATGCATATGGGTGTTTCTAACGTTCTCGTGGACAGTTTGTCTTGGTTCTGTCCCGTCCCCTCAGAATGGACCATCAATGATATATCCTTCCAGTAGCTCTACAAGACGTTCAGTTACTCCTAGGTAGATCTCACTGCATCAGCATGGAATTGGCGCCTTCCATCTTATGTGGCACCATTTCCTAATTGCAAGGCTCTCGTGGTAAATGCTTTTGAGCTAGAGGGCAACGTAGGGGTGCATTTAACTTTTTTTTTTTTTTTCCCCCTAGTTTATTTGTTGCTCTGAATTCTTTCTAGACTGGAGTCGTTCTCAGGGAGGGTGAGCTTTCTGGCTCCATGGTGGATGGCTCAGCTGTGGTTTCTGGCTCTTCTAGCTCAGTGTCTGAACCTGGTGTTTTTCCGCAGCTCTGCCTTTTCCAGAGAATTGGTCTAGTGTTGGTATTTGGTAATTTGGTAGTTGGTAATCTTGGTATTTTAGGGTTTTTTTAGTCCTGGGAACTCAGCTGTTGTTTTCAAAGCAACACTGATTTTTTGGATGCTTTTCTGGTGAATTGTCATTTGCTTCTTGCACCTCATGTGAAGAGGTCAGGTTTCATCTCTGGGGCGTGATTGGCCGAATGAGCTCACGAACTTGATGTAATTCGTAGATTTGAGCAACCATAGTGAGATAGCTGCAGGGAGCCACCAGAGCTCTACTAAAAAGAGGTGTTTCATTGCATTCAATGCTGGGTTTTGAATATTTGTAACTCTCCACCTTCTCCCCTGATCTTGCTGTACTTGTAGTATCTGGGGACACCACTTTTGCATCACTATCAAGTACTAACACCTAGAAAAATTAGATAATCTTGGTGCTTTCTGAGCTGTGTTGAGTGTCATGTGCACATTTTTTTTTTTTTTTTTTTTTTTTTTTTTTTTAAATAAATAAATAAATAAATAAAATGTTGACAAATATGAGGGGATGTTGAAATGTTCATAAACATTGGTATATTCAGCACTATCACACACAATCACTTATAGGGATGCAATTTGTTTTGCATTTATTCACTTGCAAATTTATATTGTGAATATTTTGAAAACAAATGTATAGTTATAGCCCAACAAAACAATTGAGAAAATGTAAAAAATTAACAACTTTGGTGGCAATGACTGGGACCTTGAGATGTCCTGAATATTTACAGTCAAGTACACACAGATCGGTCGGAATATTAATGTTAACATAGAGTACTGTACTAATTGTAGATATTCAGTGGGAGTTTTAATAAGGGTTCATTATGACTTTTGAAGATAAACACTGCTAGGTATTGGGGGATAGTTTTGGGGGATATTAATGGATCATACTTTTTCATTCTGTGTAAATTAAATTGTTATATGGGACCTTGAGTATAAAAACCTGTGGTAATGGTTAACATTTCTGGTTTCAGCTAGTATTATTTTCACAAAAGGTAAATCCTCATGCTTATCAATTTGTTAAGGTGAGGAAATGAATTTTCGGCTTTAGTGACCACACCATTATCGTCACTTTTGTTGACTCAGCCATTTACATTGGTTGATTATTTTTTTCATGTTATGCATGGCCAATTTTCATTTATCCTTCTGTTCATTTTAGTTTATTTTTGCATGTCAAATGTGAAAACACAACTTATAACTAAAAAAAAAAAATTATTTTAGGGTTTTGTGAAATGTGTATTCAGAGGATTTTATCATTCTCTTCGTTGCAATCAGATGCAAACTAGCATTTATATTTCAAAGGTATTTCTTATATATATATTTTAAACATTTTTTGTCCTTTCTTGGAATTTCGAAATTATATTTTCTTTGGGTGGGAGGGGGGAGGAAAGGTGGAGATACCTCAATAGCTCCCCTATGCTTATACAATGGGAAACCAAGCCTTAAACCCCCCATACCAGGCCTCTGAGACCCATAGCTGTCACCTATTGTAAACAAGAATCAGAATCTCCTCCGAGACCAAAGGGTGCTTTGATACTAGAGATTTACCCAAAACTAAGGTAAAACTCACCAGACAGTACATGCAACAAAACAAGCACTTACTTGAAGAAGTGTGATACCCCAGTAAACAAGGCAAATGACCATCGTTTAGTGGGAACCACCCAAACTGTAATGCAACAGTAGGTGACCGCCCAGGTCCCTTCTTGCCCCCTTTTTTCAAATTCATTCATTTCCTAAGGCTCTGGCTCTTCCAGGTGATAGGCACTTAACCTATCTTCATGTATGGAATTTCAAGGCCTTAACGTCTCGTGTATCACAGGCTACAGTCCTTTTTGTTTCGCTTATGATGATTTCTTATGACTGCAGTGAGAGGTGGCTTGGCAGGCCTTCCACCTCTTACTCAATTCTGTGTCTATCTTATGTTTTGGAGGCCATGGTGTTCTCATTTATCCTGGCTCTTTAGGATAGCCAGCTAATGCTTAATACTGTTACCTCATATCGCTTGGCCCTTGGTGGACCCCCCCCCTCTCGTTGGCATTCCTCTGCAGCCGTTTTGAATGATTTTTATCTACAGCTGGCTCGTGGTCCTCCAGAGCATTGTAATTTTTGGATGGTATATTTGACTTTCTGTAGTTTCCATGCTGTCAGGTTTCTCCCTTTGTTATGGGTTTATTTTTTTAGGGTGGTTTTCTCTTGGTCATCAGTTTAGGGTGGCGGGGCTTTGATACTCTGTTGATACAGAGCACCATTTTTTAATTTGCAGTCTTATTTGTTCCTGGCTAGGAATGATGGTATGGGTGCATCATATGCTCTGTGCTGCAGTTATAGTACCTGGATTGTACCTGGATGGGATTCTGGGAGTTACACTACTTCCCAAGCCCAGCCTGGGACCAGGTTTGATTTGAGAGTTTGGTCCAATTGATTTGAAAGTTTGGTTTGGCACCTGACAGCTGGGTGGACAGCGCTTTGGATTCGTAGTCCTGAGGTTCCGGGTTCAATCCTCGGTGGGGACGGAGACAAATGGGCAAAATGTTTTTTTACCCTGATGCCCCTGTTACCTAGCGGTAAATAAGTACCTGGAAGTTAGACAGCTGCTATGGGCTGCTTCCTGGGGGAGGGGGTGTAACAAAAAGGAGGTCTGGTTGTGGACCGGGCCGCGGGGACACTAAGCCCCGAAATCATCTCGAGATAACCTCAAGATAACAGGCTGTTGCCTGGAGCGGCCTGCAGGCCCACATATCCACCACAGCCAGGTTGTTCCAGCACTTCTTAAAGTGTGATGTTCTTTGTATGCTACTCATATTGTAGTGGGTGAGACAGTTACCTGTTTCTCTTAAACATTGTTCAAAGTACTCTTTCTCTGATGATTTATATCTTAGTTAAGTTTAGCTGCTTTTCAGTTTTCTTTGCCAATAAGTCAATGATTAATATCTTGAGCATTTTGATTATATTTTTCCTTCTGTAGTGTTGTCTGTGTTTTCCAAGTTGGTCTTTCTGACTTTCTGCTAAGGAACATTTTTCAAGCAGACTTAATATGCTTTGGCAGTCAATTGTTTTAGTCCATGTGTGGGATTTTTATTATATATAACAGTTTCCCATTGAATGTTTATGCTCCATGTTTATTTTTCCTAGGCTATTCTTTTATTAATAAAATTGACTTTATTGAATAACCCCTCTTGCTTGATAAAAAAAAAAAATTTGGACCTTTTACGAGTATTGATGTTAGTTGGCACTTCTTTATAAATATTGAATTCCAAACCCCATTGTTTTTGAAGGTCAGAGCTAGAATATTTTTGTTCCTCCTTGGCTCTGTTATCTGCTGATTGAGTGAAAATTTGCCATAGAATGTAAATAGTTGTCTGACCTGTGGTTGGTTATTTTCAGATAAATTTCCTGGTATATTATTATTGTTTGCTTATCTTCATCTCAGACTGGGCAGATTGAGGTCTCCAAGGAAGGTAATATCTGGTATTGAGTTTGCCAGATTACCGAGTCTATTCTCTCTTTTGTTTACCATTTCTGTGAATTCCTTAACAGTTGCATCTGGTGGTTTGAGAATTGATTTATCTATTTGAACTCCAATTGTTATTACAGTGTGTCATATATATTTTTGTGAAGTTTGAAATGAATAGATCTTTTATAAATATTTCATGAACATATGAAGTAGCCTTTTTTTCTGTTCCAGCACAGTACTTGATTTATTTAACATTTTAACAGGTATATCCTATCATTTAAGTATCATTAAAAATATTATTTTATATATTCTTGACTTTCATTATATATACAGTAATATAAACATTTCTCTGATTACCAACAAATTTTTATATATAACATTTTGTTTATTTATTTATGTATTTTGAATCATTTTAATTTATGTTTAATAACAATTCTCAATTATTTATGGTCTACCAGTGTGTCGTCCATTACTATGGGGATGAACATACATAAGCGCATACACATACATATCTTTCCCATAGGTCATCTAGCTATGAGTACATGGTGAGAAACTGGATGAGAAAATAGAAAGTGTATAAAGGTTATTTGTGATAAAGGAGTCACACCAGGAGGAATGCAGAGAAAGGAAGCATTTAACCGAGGGTGTGGGATGTAAACT